TAAGGCACACAGGATGCTCACGGTACCCAAACCCCCATGGGATGCAGTCAGCTGTGCGGGGTGGACGCGGTGCCGACCTACCCGGCGTGAAGAGCGCGATGGCTTTGAGGCAGCTGTACTCAGCTGAGTCCACCTGCAGCCGGTTGAGTTTCTCCACCTGATCCTGGAAGATGCGGATCTGGTCCATGAAGGAGACAACGCGGTCGGCCGACATGGGGGAGGCGTGGAAGCCAGCGGCTGCCAGCAGCGGGGCCATGTGCAGCGGCAGCGCCGACTGCGCGGCGTTGAGCACGAAGAGCTCGCTCCAACTGAGCCGCAGCAAAGCCACCTGGTCAGAGACGGGCAGCTCGGGGAAGAAGGGGATGTTGCGTGCCCACTCCACCGTGCTGAAGAGCAGGCGGGCGGCCAACTCGCAGATGTTGTCGATGCCCATCACGCTGCCCTGCTGCGCGTACTGAGAGCCGTAGCGGGCGGCAGGGTAGGGCTCAGCCCGCAGCAGCTGTGAGATGAGCTCGGATACCGGCTGCCCGTTGAAGTACTCCCCGCTGGGCATGGCTGTGGGGCTGGCGCTGGAGTGGGTGGGGGGGATGCGGCCCCTCTGCACGGCTGTGGGGGAGTCAAGCAGGGGGGTCGGATATGAGTGCGTGTGGCACCTGGCACCCATTGGTGCCCACAGCCCCAGGAACAACCTTACAAAGCACCCTGCGTGCACAACGGACCCCCACTGGAGCCCCTGCATCTCTTATTGCATCCCCTGTGTCCCCATTGGAGCCCCTGCATCCCTACAAAGCCCCCTGCATCCTCACTGCACCCCATACATCCCTACAAAGCTCTCTGCATGCACGACGGACCCCCACTGGACCCCCTGCATCTCTTATTGCATTCCCTGTGTCCCCATTGGACCCCCTGCACCCCCACAAAGTACACTGCATCTCCGTTGGACCCCATATATCCCTGCAAAGCCCCCTGCATCCCCATTGGACCCCATACATCCCCATCTGACCCCCTGCAACCCTACAAAGCTCCCTGCATCCCCGCTGGACCCCTTGCATCCCATTGGACCTCCTGCATCCCTCATGGACCCCCTGCATCCCTACAAAGTGCCCTGCATGCCCATAGCACCCCATAAGTCCCTACAAAGCACCCCACATGCCCACAGGACCCCCTCCATCCCCACAAACGGGACCCCACCGGAGCCCCACAGCACACAGGGACCCATCCTGCACCCCACCACCCACAGCCCCACACGGACAGCAGCCGCCTCACAGCTCTCCAGCATCCCATAATTGCAGCGGTGGGTCTGGGACAGTGCCAGTGCCCAACCCCACACCGTGCCATGCCGTGCCCCACCGCGCTGGCACCGCAGCCTCACTGCTGGCAGAGCTGCCCAAGGTCACCCCATGGCAGCACCCATTTATTAACAAACAAACCTTCCATCTTGGAAGTGTCGTTAACCCCGGGGCACTCCCCTTCCTAATTGCACGCAGGGAGGGCCATCTTTCACCCCCCCTCCCCCCCCTCCTCTATTAGTGCCCACTATTTGCTCAGGCCTTAGTAATTAATTTATGGGCTGTTCACGAGCCACTTAAATGAGAGCTCTAAATCATGCTAAGTGGCAATAATGCCATTTCGGCTGCTTGGGGAGGAGGGAATTGCCATCCCACTTCCAGCATCCTCCCCCTGCTGCACACCACTGCCAGGCACTGCTCTGAGATCTAAATCCCATTGCTCGTAGCTACAGGGAAGGTTAGACCTTCTAAGGGGGGGCGGTTTAGGGGCGCCCCCATCACAAGGAACCCCACAGGGCAGCAGGAAGGGATGCACAAAGCCAACAGCGCCCTGATCCGCTGCCGCGGGGAGGAAAAAAGGGGCAACAAAAGGGGTCTGCAGCGAGGCTGGGGGCGCAGGGCTGGCATCCCTGCAGCGCCATCGTTACCTTCCTTCCTCATCCCCACACGGAAGCACTTCTTGAGGCGGCAGTACTGGCATTGGTTGCGGTGGTGTTGGTCGATCTGGCACCCACGGCTGCCCCCCCCCCCCCCCCCCCCCCCCCCCCCCCCCGGGGGGGGTTTGCAGTGCGGTGCCACCGGGCCCCACAGCCTCCTCCTAGCACCCCCCCCAAACACACACACACAGACACACACACACAGATGCTATGGTAACAGTGCCTGGGAGCTATTTCCAAACAGACGGGGCTGAGAATCCCTATTTGCAGCTTTGGGACTGCGGTGTGGGATGGGGCTGCAGCCACACAGTGCTCACAGTGCAGCTGGGTGGTGGTGGAGGGGGGGGCACAGCTGTGAGAGGAATTCCAGCTACTTCCTATGGAGCTGTGGGATGAGGCTGCCTGCAGGGCTGGATCACAGGGGGATCAACCCCACAGAGTTGATCCATGGGTGTCAGATTTGGGTAAAAGGGAAGAGACGGGCCAGGAAAGCTGCCACAGTTCCCAAAGGAGCAGCGATACCCACAGCCCCGTCTGCAGGAGCCCCCCGGCAGAGCAAGGTGACAGCAGCCACGTGCATCCCAAAGCAGGAGGAAAAGGGAGACAGGGGGGAAACGAAGGCGCAGAGCAGCGCAGCCACGGCGCAGCCTGGGAGCCCCAACACGGCCATCCTGATTCCAACACAGCTCCGGAGAGCAGCGCTCTCCATTCCCAGCGCTCCAACCCGCATTAATTCACCCGAACATCACCGCTGCGCCCGGCGCAGAGCCTGCTGACATCTCCATCACCGCTGACCCCATTGCCGCCGATGGAGCGCGGCCCCACCGATGCGTGCGGGGAGCTGCGAAGCCGTGAGAACGCGCGAGGCGGATACGGTGCTAATTATGTAATTAGAACGTGTAATTATTTAGTGCGAGAACGACACCGACTCCGACTCACTTTTAATATTCAAATCAGAGCAGCGGTGGCTTCGACTCCTTCCGTAAAGCAGCACATTGCTCCCTGGCCTTCCAACAGACTGTGGGAAACTGCTTTCCTCCCAGCGCTGGACCGGGGTGGGGAAGGGGGGGGGGGAATCCACCCTGAGGTGGGGATATGGGGAAATTCATCCCAAAGGAGGGATGAGCACAGGGCAGCGCCCTGCAGGACAAGGAGCACAGAGCCCTCCTGCCCTGAGGAGCCCAAATTTGGGGTCTCTTTGTTCCCCCTGCCCTCAGCGATCTCTCAGGAGCAGCGCGTGTTCCCCACCTCCCAAGAACTCATCCTGAGTGGATGCTGTGAGGGGAAGCAACAGAGGCTTCTCTCCCTGCTGATGTGCTGGGGAAAGCGAGGCAGTGCTGGGTGGATGCATGCGCTGCATCCCTGCACGCTGCATCCCTGCACGCTGCATCCCTGCACTGCTGTGCCGGAGCAGAGATGCTGAGCGCGGGGGAGGAGGAATGTAGGCCACCCAAAGCAGAGCAACGCAGCAGCACAGGGACAGAGGCACAGCAGGAGCAGCGCTGCTCCCATCCCTCCGCAAAGGTCAGAGCCGGCAGCACCCACATGTGGGTCGCTCAGTGGGGCGGTGCGGGGAGCACCGTGCTGCAGGATCGGAGCTGCGTGAGCTCCATCTGTGTGTTTGTGTGGAGTGGAGCCCACAGCTCGCGGGGATGCGAGCCTGCAGGTGGACCCGGAGTTGTGGCAGCCCCCAAAGTTGGTGGGGCCGAGGCAGGATCTGCGCCTGACCCTCAGCACCTCCGGATAAAACACCTCCGGTGCCGTGCTGGTGCCGCTCTTGGGGCAGCGCAGCTGTGACCGGAGTGACTCAGAACCGTTTCCATGCTGGAAGGGCAATTAACACCGGGTGGTGACAACGGCACAGGGCTGGGGCACGGGGGGGGGGGGGAGGGGATGGGGGTCCTGCAGGCGCTGGGGCAGAGAGGCCTCGTGTCGCAGCGGGGCCACGGCGCGGCCAAAGCGGGGCCACCGGCACTGCTGCAACCGGGCGGCCGCAACGCCTCCAGCGAGCGGCACCGGGGCCACCACCGCAGAGCCACCGTGCGGCCGCCCCCGGGGCCACGGTACGAGCGTCCCCAGGGCGGCGACGCAACCACCTCCGGGCCACCCTCGGGGCTACGGTGCAGCCCATCTCCGGGCCGCAGCGCCGCCGCTCCCTCGGCCACCGAGCAGCCAACCCCGGGCAACCGAGCGGCCATCTCCGGAGCATCGCGCCCGCGGGGACGCAGCGCAGCCACCCCGGGGGTCGCCCCCCCGCCGCACCCCCTCCTCACCCACCTGCAGGTGTAGCTGAGGTTCCTGCGGATGCTGCGTTTGAAGAAGCTCTTGCAGCCCTCGCAGGTGAAGACGCCGTAGTGCTTCCCGCTGGATTTATCCCCGCACACCACGCAGTCCACCGCCGCTCCGGGCCGCTCCTCCTCGCCGTGCTCCGCGTCGCTGCCGCCGCCCGCGGGGGACGCCGCCTCCTCCGCCGTTCCTCCGCCGCCGTTGGGCTCTCCCCACCCGCCGGCCACCATGGCCATGGCTGCGGGTCAGCGCCGCATGGAGCGGAGCGAGTTCGGCAAGTTTTCCTGGGGCCGGCTCGGGTTCGGTTGGCTTTTTGGTTTTCTTTTCTCCTTCGGTGGGTTGGGGGTAGAGGGGGGGGAGGGGGGTTGGGG